CAAAACAAGGTACCATGATTTCAATATTCATACTTATACCACTTACATTAGTATCTACCAATTCACATGCATATGTTCTAAACATTACTATCATGCATGTACAAAAAATTTACAGCCCTCCAACAATTAATGTTTCCAAAAAAATAACCTGATTTTAATTTACAACCTCCCAAAAAAATGCAACTGCTTTCAATTCTAAACATTCTTCCATTTTTAAAGCTCTCAAAATGTAGTTGTCTTCAATGTTGATCTTAAATCCCTTGAGACATATTGTGTTCATTAATATCTTGTTGGGTATTATTGACATCAATATGTCCCTCATCAATGAAACTTTGACCTTGAAGCATCAAATTCGATGGTACTTCAATTTGAACGGGAAACTGTCCCATTCTTTCCAACCTTCTCTTTCCCTTGTGAGGGTTTTTGTAATCATTTCCACCATTTACTTGAAGTATTTCAAGCATACAGTATTGCATATGCAACCAAGTGTAATTCAAAGACTTTGGATCATATGCATTGTATGCATTTTCAATTGCCTGTAGTAATTCTTCAAAAGTTCTTGCAAATTCCATGTGTTGTATTGATTGAATTGCTCTAAAAAAACCCAAATCAAGAATGTTTAGGTCTGGGCTTTGAGTTGGCTGGTTTATAAGCTTGATGTTGAAACCATCCTTTGTTGCAGCTTCTACAAATTCTGTATCATTTGGACTAATGTGGGGTCTAGCATTATCTTGCTGTATCCATATTTCCTTGCAAGCTCCTAACGACCACTTTGATCTGATTGTTGGAAGCATTTTTTCAGTTAACACGGATCTGATAATAGATTTAATTACCGATTGTAAAGCCTTTGTCTCAACCGTGCCTGTAGCTTTTCTTTGAATTTTTCTTTGCTACTACTTGTTCTGTGAAAGGAAATACACCAATTTTGCCATCCCAAAATATTTCTCCAGCACTACAAATATGTGGCCTAGTTGTCCTAGCCATAACCATTACCTTTTCCATGAATGTGTTGCTTTGCGTTGCTCTGTAGGGGTCATCCTCTCATGGGAAAAGATAAAATCTTTGAGTCTTATCACTCATAAAAAACCATTTTTCATCAATATGCACCATGTTATACATTGCACTGAACTTAGAAAGTTCATTAACAATTCCTGGAATGATACTGTTAATGATAAATTGCACTCTTTTAACTTTATGGTGATGCTTAAGTGATGGTTTTATGCTGTTTGTATGTGCCCTTAGAATGCCAGTCCTTAGCAACCTATACATAGTTGTATTGCTTAAATGGAGTGCCTCCGATAAAGCTCTAATTGTGGTCCTTTTATCAACTGGTACTGCTACCAAAACAGCAAGGTCAAAATCTAATTTCTTCCTTCCCCTCTCTTTTTCTGCTACACACATCAATCACTCCATTTCTCCCAAATTGGACCTTTGCTTTAGACCAAATTCTACCAATAGTTGTCCTATGTACATTGTATTTATGTGCTAACTTTTTAATTGAACCCTTTGGTATAGATTTTCCTCCAGGGCAAAACCTTTTACCTTCTTGTGCTAGAATAAGCTCTTGCACAATATGTTGTCTTTGTTTGTCAGTTAATTCAAAGGCTTTCTTTCCATTTTTCTGTTCTATGACACTAACATTTTGTAATTCCATTACTACAATTGCTGGATTTGCATAATTATCTACTTCTATATCACTATCATTATCAGATTCAGAAGAAAACAATACCTCGTAATCTTCACTACACTCTTGAGATTGCTCCAAATTATACAGTTCTTCAAGGTCCTCAAACCCCTCAATATCCAGTGAAGACAAAAAAATATCGGGAGAAAAGTGTCGTGTGTGCTGTGAAGACAAAGAAATTCTGGGGGAAAGTGATGTGTGTGCTGTGAAGTAAAAATCCAGAAAGTCTAACTCAGAAAAAAAAATTTAGAAGTTTGTTTTCTGATTCAGAGAATGTTTCTGAATCTGAATATTTGCTCCTTTTATACTTTGAGAATAGAATTTGAAAGTTTTAGATATGTTGACTTTTGGTGGGCTTCTAAAAATTTACAACATTTTCGTTGAATATTTTGGTGGGAATTTTGGAGCCAAACCAAATTGAGAGGTCACGTGGGAAATTTGGTTACTGACAGCCCTTTTATACTTTACACTTTCATGAAGTATTTAATTTATGTTGCTGACACAGCTTAAATAAATTTGGTGGCTCCTCAATATTTTTCTTAATATAAGGACAATGTTGTCAATGCACCACTCTCTTTCATACTACCAAAAATTTCCCAACTTTACTATATGATGCAATAAATAAAAGACGGATGAAGTATTATTTTTGATAATTTTTTCTTTTTTTTTACAAAAAAAAAAATTTGTCATTAATTGTTTATGGTAAAACAAACAAAACAAAACAGATGAACATAGACAACCACCTCTTAGGCTTTTACTCCTCTCTCTCTCAATATTGTAGCTTACTCAACGTTCTCTATTGAGGGGACTTCTAATATTCCTATCCTTCATTGAAGCAGCTTCTGAGGTAAGTTGTTTCATTTTGTAGTCATCCAATTTCAATTTCACAATCTATTGTTTATTGTTTATTTAATTTATTTGTCAGTATAGTTAATTTAGGGTTCGGATTATTCAACTATTGGTTCTAATTACTGTTATGAAAGTTCATAACGACTGATTTCGTTGCTAGAGAAGAGAATTATGAGCTTAATTTGTTAATTAAATCAAATGTGCCTTTTCTCCCTAAAATTATTTGATTTTTGTAGCCTAATTAGATAAATGAATCAAATTTGGTTGCTAATGTGTTGTAGAACCCTTTAATGTTAAAATTGAACTATGAAATTGGACCTTTTTTCCCTGGGACCAGGACGGCTGCTCCGCCGGCAAATGATCTTGTTTGTCTAGAAATAATAGTCGTTTATACTATTTTATGATGTTAGGAAAGAGTCAGAGCCGTTTTTGACATTTTGGAGGCCTGGGGTGAAATGATAATTAAAAAAATCATTTATTTATATAATTGTTAAATAGTTATGTAATTTGTTAATTCGTAAATAATTTTATATAATTTGTTAAAACTTTCTCCTTTTATTTAATTGCACCATTTGGACATTTTCATTCACATTTTTCTTTTGATCTTCTTTTGTGATTTATCTGTTAGAAAAAATATAACTAAATATCATATTTTTATATTTACTTAAATAAATAACTTAATCATCAATAAATAATAACCAATCAATAATCCATAAGTATAAATGACACACTAAAAAAGTTCGTGTTGATTCTGGGTGAGATAATGCACCATTTTTTTTGTGTGGCTTTTTATTGTCATTCGCGTATGGAAAATATTTGTGTAAAATAGAAATGCATATACAGATAATTAGTAAAAGGAAAGTCTAATATTATAAAATAATGAAAAAAATAACCACAATAAGTCGAACTTTAGGTGATCTTCCAATATTAAGTCAACTTTAATGAATTAAAAATTAAGTATGACATTGATGTCTATATTCCATAAATAATTTAAGTACTAGATTTGACTTATGACCGGTCAAACAAGTCATCAATTGACTTATACTATAATTAACTCTCAATTAAATAAGAATTGACTTAATTAATAACAAAATATAGCTTAATATTGATTTTGAATATAAAAAAATATTTTAATTTTAACTATAATAAATAATTTTTTAAAAATATTGGGGTGTCGGGTTTGGTGTGGAGGGTTGGGTGGTCATAGGTTCGTGCCGACTAGGGTTGGTGGGAGTTGTGTGGGTTCGATCGATCGGCTAGGTGGGAGTTTGCCACATAATTGTGGTTTGAGAGTAAGGGTTGAGATTTGGGTGGGAGTTCGCCAAATAAGTGGTGTTCGAGAGTTAGAATTAAGGTTTGGGTGGATGTTCGCTGGACTGGTTGGGACACTAGGGTGTAAAGTCAAAATGTATCTAATAAAAGGATCAGATGGAGTATTAGAGCAACTCCATTGGTAAGCTAATTAGCAAATTAGCTTTTTTGGCCACATAAGATTTTAAAGCTAATTTTTTTTGTAGCTAATTTGTGCCCTGGCTACTAGCTTGTGGTGTTTTCCAGAGAGAAGAAGAATATGTCATGCATGCGTTAAAAGATTGCAGTTTAGCCCGAGCAATTTGGAGTAAGTGCAATTATTCTATGGTTTTGTCTAACTCTCTTTGTAGTATGGGTGACTGGTGGGAGCACTGTTTTGGTAATTTTGGAGAGGATATGGTAAGTTTAATTACCATGTGTTAGGCTATGTGGGGTGCAAGGAACAAATGGATGATTGAGGGTGAAAATCCGAATGTTGAACAAATTGTTGCCTATGCTTTGAAGATTAAAGTTGGGAAAGTTGAATAACATGGGGAATGGAGGGGTGGAAAGAGTGTCTCTGTGGGCAAGTCTCCTCCGGCATCCGGTATGGTTAAAATTATTGTTGATGTTGGTGTTTTGGGGGAGGTGGAGACGGGGCTGGGTGCAGTCTGCAGGAATAGTGAGGAGGTGGTGCTTTGGGGAGCTGTGGTGTAGTGGAGTGAAAAATGAGAGATTATGATTGCAGAGGTGGAAGCGGTACTCTGGGGTATGAAGATTGCGAGACACAAGGGTATGAGCTGCACTGGGATCAAGAGTGATAATCTGGTGGTGATTGAGGCGATGAGGAAGTGTTTGTATGGCTCTAGTTCCTTTTATCTGATTATAAAGGATATTCTAGATTTTTTCTTCTTCTAATTTTATTAGTAATAATATAGCACACAAATTGACTTACTTTCAATCATGGGAGTTTGGCCAATGGGTGTAGAGTGATGTAATTTCTCCTCGCATTTTGGAAATTTCTTCGGTTGATCCAAATGGGTTTTTTTTCAAAAGAAAATAAAAAGTATTAAAGTTGTCACTTCCAAAGTTATTCACTAATAATTTTCTGTTTTACACAGATCAGTAACCAACTCATACAATTAACTAATTCATACAATTCTACACTTGCTAGCTGCAATTGTATTTATAATAAAATGTAGGTGACAGTGAGCTGATGTTAAAACCACAAAGGTAACACTTGCATAGTTCACACTTTACATGACACAATTAATTTGCCATAATGGCCACGACAAAAGAGTCAATATATCCCCATTTTTTTTTGAGGAAAACTCATCCTAACCACATTTAAGACATGATAACTTGTAATTGACTTATGTTACCATATTTTCTTTTCGTTTGTTGTAAACTCAGTTTAATTAATGTAATTTCAACCCTTTTCAAAATAAAAAAAAAAAACAAAAAAAACTTACAAACAAATTATACAAGCTTTGGTGTGAGAAGATAATATTTGAGAAATGGAAGTGTAAAGATAAACTAATAATCCGTACTTTTAAAACAGGTTTACTCTAAACCCTTAAAAGGTCTACCCATCCCATAATTGGACTATCGTATAAAGACTCAGCCCATTTATTTATTAGACGGATCTAACCCATTAATAACTGTGGCAGGGTCATGGCTTTTAATAGGGATCCAAGGCGTCCAACCCATTGAATTGCTCTATTGAAGCGCATTCAACGTTCTCCATTGAAGCGCAGTTGCCGTTCTCCGTTGAATCTAGTTCTTGTATCCCCCATTGAAGCAGCTTCTGAGGTAAGTTGTTTGTATTTGTTATCATCATATCAAATATCCCTAAAATTATGAGATATTGAATCAAATATCCCTAAAATTATGAGATAATTGAATCAAATTTGGTTGCTAATGTATTGCACAACACTTTAATGTTAGGATTCAACAGAGCTCTTTTCCCTGGGCCCAGGGCTGCCGCCCCTCCTGCCCTTCCTCAGGGACGGGCCTGGAAAGAGTTGTCATCTAAATTAGTAATGGTTTATTATCGTATTATTTAGGAACTATGGAGTTTTGTTTAGATTCTTTGAACGTTATACTTTTTGGCTCATTTGCCAATGCCTTGATGGTAATGGATTATGGGTTAATGTTAATTTAGCATGATTTGGAGTATGGTATTGGAATTTATTTTATGCGAGTAATATTTTAAATTCAAACCCCATTTGAAACTTCGTGGATCCTCCATTAATCGAAGGTCATATATGGCACACCTTGACTATGTTTAGCTTAAATAAGATGGTTCTGCCCTTGTTCTGTTTTTTTTTTTTATTTATTTTTATTTTTTTATTTTTTTATTTTTTTTATTTTTTTTTATTTTTAACTTTCATGCGTTTCTTGGTGGTCTGACTTTAGACCTCTTGCGAATGGAAGGCCGTAGTGTTAAACCCATATTGATCTCTGTTTTTTACAGTTGTATATAAAATGGCAAAACAAGCTCCTACTCTGTTTCTTGAAGACTGGCTTAGGAGCAGTACCAGCAACAGCAATGGAAGCAAAAACACCTCCGGAAACTCTGCTATTTCATCAGCACAAATGATCATCCAGGCATGGGCTGAGCTCAGGGATTGTCTCCAGAAGGGAATCTTTCATCCTCGTCACCTTCATTCTCTTAAATCCCTAGTTAATTCACAAGCCTCATTATATGTGGCCGACCCACAAGCAAAAGTCCTCATTTCTATCCTTTCTTCTTCTAACATTTCTCTTCCTAATGATTCACTGCCCCTTATCCTGAGACTTTTATATGTATGGGTGAGAAAATCATCCAAGCCGTCGTTAGCACTGATGGATTCGGCTGTGAATGTGATTGCTCATATATTATCTGACCAGTTTGATGCTGAGAAAAGTGTTTCTTTATTTGTGGAAGGCATTCTTTTTGTTGGTGCTTTCTGTTCAGTCCCTTCTGTGACTGAAAACACCAAAATCATTTGCTTGAAGCTTGTTTGTAGTATGCTGGAGGAACAATATCAGTTGATTGGTTCAGTCGGTGAGCTCATTCCTGATGTACTTGCAGGGATTGGGTATGCTTTATCCTCTTCTGGAGAAGTTCACTTTGTTAGGCTGTTAAATTTTCTGTTAGGAAATTGGGTTTATATAGAGAAACCACATGATGTATCTCATGCATTGGTTGTTTTGCATTTGATAGAATGGGTTGTGTACAGATTCATTAGTTCTAGTGCTTTGGAGAAAATTAGGATCTTTAGCAGTGAAGTAATTGAAAACCCCAAGAAAAACTATGCTATTTTTGCTGTCCTCATGGCCACAGCTGGTGCTCTAAGAGCATCTAATAGACCTGTGAAGCAGGGAGAGTGGTTGAATATTGTTACTAGATTAAGGATTTCAGCAGAAGCTAAAATTGAAGCTATAGCATCAAACCTGATTTCAGATATAGGATCCCCGAGTAACATTATTGTTGAAGATGCTGAATTCGGATTTCTCCTCCATTGCCTGTCATTGGCTGCATCTCGAAGTGGTGGTTTGAGTTCATCAAGAGGATCGCTACTACTATCACTTGCTCTAGCCTTGCTGATTGAAGTCCTTCCCTTGAGAAGATTTTATAGCAAGATCCTTGAATATCCGATTAGCAATCTTGAGGGTTTAAATCCAATCTATGTGAAGAATCATCAAGACAGCATTCTTTTCAAGGAAGCAGGGGCAGCAACTGGTGTTTTCTGCAATCTTTATGCATCTGCAAATGAAAAAGATAAGTGTAGAGTTGAGGATCTAGTTTGGAGTTTCTGTCATGACATTTACTTGGGGCATCGGCAGGTGACCTTGCTGCTGCAAGGCAGGTCAGACCAATTGCTTAATGATTTGGAGAAAATAGCTGAATCAGCTTTCTTGATGGTTGTAGTCTTTGCATTAGCCGTTACGAAAAACAAATTGACTTCAAAATTCTCAAGGGAGATACAGATGGATTGTTCTGTCAAAATTCTGGCCTCATTCTCCTGTATGGAGTATTTCCGGCGCATACGGCTTCCTGAATATATGGAGGCAATCAGAAGTGCAGCCACAAGTGTGCAAGAGAACAAGATTGCCTGTATCTCTTTTGTCGAATCCTTTCCTTCTTACGCTGACCTGACAAACCCTCAAGGTATGAATCATTATGATATCCCATTAGAACACTTCTCAAATTAGTTTAGTTTATAGATCTAATCTGTAATGCTCTCTGCTGCCAATTACTTTCTTGTAGATAAAAAAAAGGTGTTTTAAAATCTTGTTTTTGTAGGATTTTGTCATCTGCAGAATGGGAATTATGTATGGTCCAAAGATGAAGTACAGACGGCAAGGATCTTGTTTTACCTGCGGGTTATTCCAACTTGCATCAGCCATTTGCCTAGTGATGTGTTCCAAGAAGTGGTTGCTGCCACAATGTTTTTGTATCCTAAACCTCGTATTCTACTTATAGATAGCCTTTGAGCGATGAATAATATTTTTACTATTGATTCCTTATTACAAATGCTTATAGATATTTGGGGCATCCTAATAACAAAGTAGCACGGGCCTCACATATAGTGTTTTCGTCTTTTGTTACTTCTGAAAATGAATCCTCTCAGATGGAGAGGTCCTTGTTGAAGGAGCAACTTGTTTTCTATTACATGAAGAGATCCCTTGAGGTACTAAAAAGTGCTTTCAAAAGCTGTAACAAATATCTGACTTTTGAGTTTGGTTTGTTTTAAATTATAATTTACAACATATAGGCTTATCCGGGTATTACACCATTTGATGGTCTGGCTTCTGGTGTTTCTGCATTGGTTCGACATCTTCCTGCTGGGAGCCCATCCATATATTATTGCGTACACAGTCTTGTTGAAAAGGCCAATGTGTTATGCGGAGAAGTTAAGAATATTAAAGATTCTGAATGGTGGAAGAACTGGCAAGGAGACTCAGAGCCCTGCAAGAAAATCATAGAGCTTCTTATGCAGCTGATAACCTTGGTGGACATACAGGCATGTGAAAATCATTGTTTCTTTCATTATTACTCTAGATGAGATTTAACTAGGAGTCAAGGATATGTAATGCATAATTTTGATATGAGGTAACTGCCTTGTTATTTGTTAAATCAAGAAAGAAATAAAATAAAGGACATGGTGTGAAGAAACCTTGAAAGTTGAAACTTGCATGAGATGGACTCTTTGCAATATCGATTAAGAGTTTATACCCACAAGCCTTTTCTGGTTATCTCGATTATGATGATGGCATAGTGATAACCACTTTCCATTGCTCATGCTAATCTCTTATGATCAATTTCAAGATTTCTTTGGTTTGTTTGTGTAGGTACTACCAGAATTGATGAAGCTGTTGGCGCGGCTAATTATCCAATTACCAAAAGATGGCCAGAATATGGTACTCAATGAATTGTATGCCCTTGTTGCAGAATCTGATGATGTAACCAGAAAGCCTACATTAGTTTCATGGTTACAATCGCTATCTTACCTCTGTTCTCAACCCACTACTACAAACGAAGCATGCACAGAGGTTCCAAGTGCCAATTCATTAATCTTGCAGAATGTTACTGCACGATTATGATCGATTAAGGTACCAAAATTTCTTAAAACTACATGCATTGTATTCAGTTTGTTCATGTCAACTTAGTTTTATATCCTCTTCAAATACCTAGAAATGAAACTTGGAGCATAGGAATTATTTAGCACACTAAATCCATTCCCATGCAATGCACCCTTATTATTAACTTATTAAGCATTACTTCGTATTACTCAGGCGACAAAGCTTAATATGTAGCGTATTTCAGCTCTAAAATTGTTTTGTATGAATAGGTATCAATGATTATTACAGATAAGTATGTGATGAATTGCCTTAGAATCTGACTTAGAAGTCAGATATCAAGATTTTGGATTAGTGAATGTAACGGGTTCGATGAATTGACGCACTGAACCTGATAAACAATGAGAGGCAACAGAGGAAGTACTATGTATGTACTAGTAACAGATTAGGGATTTTTGGTGGTTTGATTTCAACGAATTCCCAGCTGCCTTGTGTCTGGTTGAGAGCAAAAACAATATCAATGACCATCTGAATGGTGTAATATTAAAAGCATAAATTAGTTTATTGTCTAATATGCCAGTTATTAACATTGGACACTTGCTGTTTAGTAGTGACAGACTGACTGTAAATATATTATGTATCATGCCCTATTTAAAAAAGAAAGCATACAGAACTATGGAATCCCAAATTGGAGATGGAAATCATAGATTCATTTGTCCCTTATTATATTTTGTAGGTTTGTCTCTTTTCTCTGGGGTAAGCATGTTCTCCCTCAATTTGATACGTCACAAAGTAGGATTATATTTTGGAGCTCCCAAGAGCATTTATTTTTGAAAATCATGCATTTGTAAAAAATAATACTTCTGCATTCTATGCATAATGGTATAAAACTTAGGCAGCAGCAGACTAGATAAAAGCCTTCGGGCTGAGCATGCATACTATAGGGTATAATGAAAGTCTACAGAGCATATTAGTATAGCTGAAAACTATGAAGTGTGTATGTCTAAACTGTGGGATTGTGCTATGAGGAGCTATTGTTTCAACCTCCTTTATTTTGCTTAACTCTTTGATGAGTGTGATTGTAGGTTTGTAGGAATACAATTCAGATATGAACTGGAATGTCATGAAGTCGCTGAGTTTTCTCCACGTTGAGCCCCCCAAATGTCTCCTCCATATCCATCTCATTGGTAAAACCCCATCTTCTAGCTTCCAATCAAATACATGAATTAGTGATCCCATTATCAAAGAGACCATTCGATTAGCCAATGGCAACTCAGGACAGATTCGACAGCCAGCATTAAATGGAATCAGCTCAAAATCACGGCCCTTGACATCAATATCTGATCCCACAAATCTCTCTGGCTCATATAAAGTGGGAGTCTCCCACAAGGTTAAATCTCTCTCCCGATGACCCATACATTTATCAGTACTTGTGCGTTTTTGGGGACATTAAAGTCGAAGAGCTGCACATCTGTATCTGCTTTTTTACGCAGCAGAAGTGGCACTGGTGGGTGCAGTTTCAAGGTTTCCTTGATGATTGCTTGCAAGTACAGTAGCCGAGGAATGTCAGTTTCTTCTACTAAATTTCCCTTTCCAATGATTTCTTGGCGCTCCATTTGTGCTTTCTTTAGCTTTTCTGGGTTGTGCAACAATTCTTCCATTGCCCATTCAAGGGTTGATGTTGTGTCAATTCCTGCAGAAAATAAGTCCTGCAGAGAAGGGACGTCAATTATTTTTGAAATTAAGCTACAAAAATATCTCAATAAAGTTTATTGAGAGAGATACAGCAGATGACCAGGTATCATTGAAAGTTCAATTTTCTCAATTTTCTTATGATTAATGCCCTGCATTGCGTCTAAAATATAGTTGTCTTCTATTGATCCTGAAGCCTTTCCCCTTGCAACCTTTGGTTTATCATAATCTTGTAGAAATCCATTAGCTTCCCAAAGTAAACACTTGTATGCCGTGTGATGCCCTGTAGGTCGATCTTTTGCAGGAAAGGAAGATAGTCTGCAAAGTTGGTTTTCCCAACTTCTTTCAACAGGCCTCGTATTGTCTCTCGAAATTCATGAGCAATTTTCGAACTAGGATCACCCATATCAACTGAAAAACAAAAAGTATTTGATAGCAAATTGAGGGTAGTGGTGAATGTTGCTTGGCCAATGTTTACTGCTATACGGTCATCGCCAATCTTCTCCACATAGAATATACAGTAAGATCTTTGATCTTATTTCTTCGAAGTCTTTGGCTAGCATTCTGTCCGCTGGCAGAATAAAACTTGGGAATTACATATTTTGCGTAGATTTCTCCATCAGATGATGCTGAGCCTGCTGGCAACCAAGCTACTGAATTTTTATTGTGGTTGAGTGCACGAACAGCATCAATGTGGCGGCTGGAGAAAGAAATATAATTCTTTTGAAGGGCCTCTTTTGCCACAGCAGCTGAAGGAATGATCACTGTAGGCACTTGGCCGAGCTGCATCATCATCCATATTTGCTGGCAGATTTTGTCAAGGAGACATGCGGGTTGGAGTCAAGGCTAAAAAGGTTCCGAAGATGGGTAAAGGCGGCGGCCCTGGTGGTAGTTTTGATTCATTGCCCTGCAACCCATGCTAATACAACACAGGACAGAATTCAGGCTATCCGTGGCACCTCTAAAGTACAATATTGTCTTTACAGGAAGTATATTATTTGACTTGGTACAATGGTGTGGTACATGAGTTATTTTTTTATCTCCCTCCCTCAACTTCTAAAATGAGTGAATGGTTTAAATTCCTTCTAAATTGTTTTCTAAATTGAATTTTTTTCTTTCTTTTTTGGCTTGTTTGTCAAAAACCACAACCTGTTATAAATTTCCATTACTGCCTAAAACCATAGACTTTTAGGACTTTGGTTAGCAAAAGTACATGCAGTCTCTAATACTACAGAGTACATTTATTACCGTGGACATGAAATACTGGGAGAAATTAATTTGTTTTTAGAGATGAAGAGGGTTCATGATTTGTGGAACTTCTTTTACTCATTTCCTTTAACAGTTAGGACTTAATTTGTGACTAAAACTATAAGCCTATAACCATTGACATATCTAATTAGTACAAACATAGAATTAATGTTGGCCATTGAGTCATTTGGTTCAAGTACGAGTTGGCTAGGTTGTTGGGTAGGATCCATTCAGAAGATGAAATTTTTGGTTCAAGTATAAGCCGGATCGGATCCATGAAAGTTAGATCATACTTGACTGTATTGAAAATTTCGGAGTCGCACTTTTGTAGGAAACACACTAATCACAAATATTTAGGGAAAAATTGTCATAAATAATACAATTTTTGAATGGTTGAATTTAAATAATACAACTTTTTGATGAGAAAATACAAATGACAAAACTGTAAATAAATCAACAACTTTTTTTTTTTATTCTTATTAAATGTAGGTTGCATAGTTGATATAATTACGAAAATGTCATGCTGACTGGATATTTTTGTTGATTTATTTACGATTTTGTCACTTGATAAACGGATTTTGTTGATAAGGTAGGACATTCTTTTTTATTATTATTCTTAATATTACAACCTTTTGGAGGTCTCAATTTTAAATAGGTCAAACCAAACGTAACCTAGTGAACGGTTAATTATGCCACATATTGCTTAAAAAAATTATTAATTTTTTTTTCTTTTCTCCCTCCTCCCATCCAACACCACCACCCCCCTCCCCAGCCACTCGTTCGAAAATAGTCCCCTCCCCTTCTTGATTGCCTGCCCACCCCACCCTTCACTAGCCCCAAGCCCCCCACTAGCCTAAAACCCCTACCCCGCAACTCCACCCTCTGGCCACCATTATCGAAACCCCTTTGAACCAGGTCAGGGGAAAGTAGGATTGGAGAGATTAGGGCCATGGTGGTTGGGGTTGGCGAGCAAGTAGGGTTCAGGTAGGGGAGGTGGACTAACCACCGATGGCTGGCAAGGGACGGGTTGAACGGGGAGGGAGAGGGAGAGGTGGAAATATTTTTTAAAATATTATTCATTCATTCAAAAATTATATATTACAAAAGTCAGAATTTAAGTGACCTTCATTACAAGTTTTTGACCTGTTTAAAATTGAGACCCCAAGATTTGTAATATCAACAAATAATCATAAAGTTGTCTTGTATAATAAATTCAACCTTGCAAAGGTTGCATTATTTATGACAATTTTTACTATATTTATTTGATTTCAATTTAGTTGGTTTGACTCAGGTGACTTTTGCCTTAGGTCAGTTTTGATCGTCATAACGACAATGCAAATTTAGTCATTTTGATATATATTTTTTTTAGTAAATGTATGTTTCTTTTTATTTATTTATTTAATTTTTTTTTAATGTATGAATTTTGTACTGCTTCAGTACTTCATATATTCTTAATTCTCCTATTTTTCTAAAATCACATGTCAACTAAAATACAAGTTTATTATTTTACATCATTACTTGCTGATTATTGCATGTTCTAGAAATTATAAATTAAGGTACTAGCATTAGTGTGTTGCGCAACTCTAAACTAGTTGTAAGTGTTATTGTACCATATCAACTTGAGAAGAGCTAGAAATAACTCAATATGCACCAATATAAAAATTATTTGCTTTTTTTTTTTTTTTTTTTTTTTTTTTAATCCTCGTCTCCTCGATGCCACATTTAGTGAAAATACTGGCTTAACTAGTTGAAATACAATTAATACGAGAGAGGAACAGAGACAAGAAAATTAAATGTCATATTTGTTGCCAAGTTTGTGTAATTTTTATTATCAATTTTGCCCTTTTTTTCCTTATATATATATATATATATATATATACTAGAATGTACCCCGGGCGATGCCCCGGGTTCACTACTCAATATAAATCCTTATTTGTTGATGTAAATGTTCATTGGCGGGAAGGTAATTTATTTATACGGTTTGATTAACATCTCGTAAAAATTATTAGAATAAGTCTAACGGGTCAATTAAATTACTAAGTAGTAATATTTTTTTATCATTTGAGAAGCGTTTTAAAATAAGGTGCTTGTATATTTATTTTTCAAAAAAATTATAATAATGCCCGGTAATTTCATATTGTAGGTTGGGGAGTGTTTCGGGGTTTTTTGAAGTGTCCTGCGGGAGAGTTACAATTCCAAGAATGCCCTTCGACCGCCTGTACCTGCAAAACCACGGAGACTCCGGTTGGGTGGAGCTCCGCCTCCGACGATCAAGTCAGTAATGTACGGGAGGAAGGAAGTGCGTAAAGAGTAAAATTGCTTCTCGCGTAATGGGAGAATTCCGCAATTAATATTGCTCGGTTTTGGTGTAAGTGTATTTATGAATGTATTGAATGCAATTGCCTCATTAATGAGGACTCTTCCACTATTTATAGTGGGGAGCATTGGTTCCCCATTTAGGGTTCCTAGGACACGTGTCAGCAGGGGATTGGAGCCCTGCTGACCAGTAGCAAGGTGCCACGTGTCGCTCTTCCATTGGGCCACGTGGCTGGGGTAATTTTACCCCAAACATTTGCCCCTCTCAGGTGCTGACGTGGCAAGGTGCCACGTGGCACCTGAGAAGAGACCTGATTTTTTTTTTTTTTTTTTTTTATTTTTTTTTTTTACCCTTCAAATTCTAACTGAAGGAAGAGGGAAAAGCAGAAGGGGAAGGGTTGCGTCCTTTCGCCTTCCGGGACAACCCCTATAAATAGGGGATGAAGCACACGAGAGCTCATTTACAAACTTCGTGACTTTTCTTGAATTTTGAGAGCATCCGGCATTTGAGAGCATCCGGTACTTGAAATTCAGAGCACACAGAGATTTGATAGCTTTAAGAGCAGCCGGTTTTCAGACCGCCTGTGAAGTAGTAAGCAAGCAAATAGATTTTCGAGAGGGTACCCCAGAGAACCCAGCCGGTCTTCCAACCGTCTGTGTCTTCGCAAGCATCCCCAAGAAATTTCTTGAGGTTTCAACTCTCTTCTACTCTAGGTACCGTCTCTATTCCTTTTTGCTTTTCCATGTATTTCCGTTTGCGTCTTTTGCTGGCATTTTTGTTTATAAGTCCCATAGGTAGATGGACCCTTTATACCATATCCGGACCATAGTTGTGAACTCAGCCGGTCAATTAGTACGGCTGAGTCTAGAACTGGATCTGCCGCCTCTGATCTTTGGAATTTCCCCTTTTCAACGCCTATATCGATCGACTCCGTGTCTGTGCAGGACACTATGGCCAGAATTAGGGGAACGGCTATGGACCCCAATTACAGAGGCGGAGACTCAAACGAGTTATCGCCTGAAAATCAAGGCCCAGACGGGACGGTTAGAGAACCATCCGGCGGTACCCCCGCCACCCCAAGCGATAGCATTCTAGGCTCCTATAACGAGGAGACCTCTCCGGCTCAGGAGGCTGAGCAGACAGAAGCCGCCAACGAGGCTCCCAACTCCCCATCCGACTCCGATGACGGTCGGGCTGAAAGCAGTAGCTCCAGCTACTTAACCATGTCAGAGGATAGCGAGGAGGCGGAGAGGCCTTCGTGGCAAAGCCGAAACGACCCTCTCATGATCGCCGTCTCCTTGAAGGACCGCGCCCTTATGCGGTCTTCTCTATAAGACTTTATTACCAGACGGCCGCTTGGTGAGGGATACAAGATGACCTAACCGGGGGAGTTCGGGACGGTTGTATGGGAAGATGACCAGCCCAACGCTAACGGTTGGTTTGGATGCTATGAGGCGGCTTTCCTAGCCGGCGTCCGTTTTCCCCTTCACAACACGATCAAGGCCATACTTAGGGGGTATGGCCTAGGCGTTTGGCAACTCACCCCGAATTCTTGGGTGAATATTTTAGGGTACATCGCCGCCTGCGAGATGCAGGGTCTCAACCCCGGCTGGGAGGCGTTTGCCCATATGCACTACTTGAGCCGGAGCCCAGGCGGCTGGAGGGCCTGGTACACGTTGACAACCTACCCCCAATATATGATGACCTTGGACAAGCCGTCTAAATGGTCGGACTGGAAGAACCGGTTCTACCTGGTCAAAGCTCCGTCTGAGGAGGAGAACAAGGAGTACCGGACCTACAACCGGAAGCCAGAGCTTTTGGGGCAGAAGTGCCGGCTGCCCCCAGTTCCTGATAATGATAGGAAGGCCATTCCGGACTCCGGATTTTTTGAGCTGACCTCTACCTCTCTCTCAACCGGAGAGATAATAAGGGTACCCAAGAACTGGGTGCCCAAACACGAATTTTTCAAGGACGAGTGCTTCTTGTCCGCCTGTGGGCTTAGCAGAATGTTTAAGAACAAAGGTTACAAACCCTAGCCGGTTAATTTGATGCCGGCTGACCTTTTTCTCTTGATTGCAATGTAAAATTCATATCTCTGACCGGATGTGTTTTCGTTTTGCAGAAGAAGCTAAGAAGATGCTGCCCACCGCCAAGACACCCGCAAAAAAGGCTTTAGATATCCGAAAGGAGAATCTGGAGAAGAAACTTGCCGCTTAGGCGGCTAAAAAGGTTAGCCCGCCTGACCTTCTCTATGAGTTTGACTTTGATGTTGTTTTAGCTATTTATTCATCTAACCGTTTGTGGTCTTGTTTCAGGATGGGGGTGTTATTCCTCGTTCCTTGCAAAAACAGATCCGGCAGAGGCCGTCTGTTGAAGAGCCTGCACTCAAGGTGCAGAGAACCGCTTCTACCGCCCGGGCAACAACCGGCGGTAAAACAATAAAGACCCCAGGCGGGTCTAACACTGAAACGACCTCGAAAGAGGTCACTCCAATAAGGACCGCAACCGGTCCATCTTCTGCCGGAGGCCAAACGGCTTCCCAAAAAGGTATAAACCCCTTCAACCTCACGTTGCTCGACCTACCCATGCGGGTAAAGTCATACTCTTCTTCGTAGCCGGGAGATTCTCCGATCAGCCGGTTGTCCGTAGGCGGAGCATACGCAGCATTCTCATCGTCTGTTTCTGGTGCAG